AGGAAAAAAAAAAAAGATTGAGTACACGTGAAAGTGCATCCCACAGAATAAGATGAAGCCTTCTGATTTACCTGGCAAGAGATTACCGACACTTGTAAACAGAGGCATTGCGAAAAAATCAATGAACCATATCTGAGAATCGGATTGCGTGATACTTCCATGCCTGTCATTTAACGGAGGAACGGGTTGGCCGAGTTTCCTCTGCAAATCGCCTTGGCATCTGAATTCCTCCATCAAAACGTTTGACCAACTTTCGGCAATATGATATGGCCTCGCCTGGGATAAACGAAAATATAAAATATATGTATATCACTATATTCATAGCCGTCGGACAACAAATTATCGATTTCCAAACACCCGCGAGATAAACCTACCACATTACTGATATCTGCGCACTTGATCAATGCACCAAAAATAATCTTTCTCTCTTTGTCCGCCTTTAATTCATAGTCGGGCGATTGAAATCTTTTAATTTGCTCGTTGATACCCACAACATATTCCTCGTGCAAGTCCATGTCGGTGGCGAGGATTGCGTTTACGACGGTCTTTCGCAATTCTGGATTCGAGAAAAAAAAATTAGCAACAATAACCAACTAACCATGTAACAATTCAAAGAAAACATGACCGATAATTACCAGCATACTCGGTGGTACCAGGATTGTAAACCATGAAATCGTGTTTTCGCATCAAGTTAAATAGTGTCATGGCATGAAAGCTCTCCAAAACCGACGTATCATTGTATATCTGTGCTAATGGAGTTTGCGATTGAATCTAGAAGGGATGATGATACTAGATTAGGTCGACGTGCACGTCGTGCTTCCAAATGCACATAACGAGAGATCACCCGTACCAGGAAATTATTGCTGACTCCCGGATGACCGACATCATGTCCAATGGATGCCAACAGTAGAGCAAAGGCGTCAGTGCTCTTCAAAAGATTATCGGGAAAGCATCTCTGCCGATTTTTTTCAAATCGGGATGGGAACAAAGAGGGAATGAGATCTATTTTGCACAGAAAATGAAACATTGCTTGGAGAACGTCCACGGCATGAATAAAATTGTGGTACGGATTTGTGTTGTGATAACACTTCATGATGGCGAATATGAACTGGTGCAATTGATCTTTGAGAGAGAAGCGTGAATTGATTAGCTCGGTATGTCGACACGAATATTCAATCGACAAAATGATTCTTACTTGTCGTTGACACACGGAGTCCGTTATATTCCAGAACATGTTCGAAAATGATGACCACGCATCTCAATTGGTCTTCTTCTGTCAATTCATGGGCATTAAATTCCCATTCTGACAACTTTCTCTTGAGAGAGTTTGTTTTTTCCAATTCCGCGGCCGGATTTAGTCTACCGGTATATAATCATCGAACGTAAGCTATTTGCTCAAAGTCAAATGTCGAGTCATTCACTCACTCGCACAGGCCACGTTTGCAAAGCCTGGAGTTGATCAATTTTTACATACATACCTTGCGATGTAACCAACGCTCATCGACGGCTTCGGCGGAGTGTAGTAATCAAATATGGTCTCCTCTAACCTGGCGATCAAAAGGAAAGCAGCATCTATCATTAATACCAGAACTTCAGAAAACCGACATCCCGCCATACGTGTATTTCCGCGTACCATTTATCTTTCATGATGACTTTCTGAATCCTTTGTTCCAAGGAGCCGCTACACCGTATTGAAGACTTTGAATGGTCCGATCTGTACATACGCTACACGATAATGCGAACAGTGAATAACAATTCAATGGAGAGAAAACGAATATCAATAATATCGACATTTCGAAATACCAAAAACATGGTTTTTGCCACTTCCAGTCTAATGGGTTTTAATAAGTAATCCACGGCACCCTTGTTCATACAATCCAACATTGTTTCCGTTGAATCTTTCCAAGAACATACTGCATTTTGGAATTAGATTAGGGTTAACAAAAATTAGCAGACGGAATGGAGCGGCTCCGGAAAAAAAAAATGGTCAACCCACCGATGGGGATCACATGATTAAGTTTTCCCAGAGAAATTTCTTCACTTATGTGTTTCAATAGTTCCAGCCCATACAGGGTGTCTCTTGT